TGGCGGCAGCAGAATGTGAATGGGGCATTTGCCGAGCTCCGAAAGCTCATCCCCACCCACCCACCAGACAAGAAGCTAAGCAAGAATGAGATCCTTCGTCTTGCCATGAAGTACATAAATTTCCTGGCCAAGCTGCTCAATGACCAGGAAGAGGAAGGCACTCAGCGTGCCAAGCCCGGCAAGGACCCTGTGGTGGGAGCTGGTGGGGGTGGGGCAGGGGGTGGCATGCCCCCTGAAGACCTTCTCCAGGATGTGCTTTCCCCCAACTCCAGCTGTGGGAGCTCTCTGGATGGAGCAGCCAGCCCGGACAGTTACACAGAGGAGCCAACACCCAAGCACACTGCCCGCAGCCTCCACCCTGCCCTACTGCCTGCCACCGATGGGGCTGGCCCCCGGTGATGCGTCTGGGGCTGCCCAGGGTCAGCAGGCAAGGGCCCTTAGGCCCCTGCATTGCTGGGCTTCAGGGCAGGTGGGATGAGAAGCAGGCAATGTACTTGATGAACTTCCCTTATAGTCTGAACTTTGGGAAGTCCCAACTGACCCTGAGCTGGTGTTTCTGTTTCCTGCCTGGAAACAAGAGGAAAATGAAGTGAAGTAGTAGGTACTTTATTTGAAGATGGCACAGTCTTCTCCCTTCTCCAATCCCCAGGACTTCCCACTTAGAGGCTCAAGTGTCACTGTTTTTGGTCTAGAGTTTGTGAGCCTTGTTTTGGACAAGATCCGGGGTTGCTACCCATTAGCTGAGGCATCCAGCAGCCTCTGCCTTGCCTTTAGCCCATCCCGAGCTGACTGGGGTGGCTTCTGTGGCAGCTTCTGTTCAAATATTTAGGTACCCAAGAGCTGCCCATTTCTTGAGCCCCATCTTCACCCAGGTCCGTATTGATCCATCCAGCTTGCCAGCTGCTCCGGAGAGTCAAGCCTCGAGGTGCCTTCTTCAGGGCCTGTTTGGAAAAGTTGACCAGTGAACAGACAGCCTGATCTCAACTAGCTGGGCCAGAAAACCCAACAGCCCTTCTTGCTCTGGGGAATCAGAGCTCTGCTTTCTCCACACTGAGACTTGCCTTCCTATCCTGCAGCTGTGAGGACCAAGTCAGTAGCCTGGAGCATGCTCTGTTGGGCTGTGTGCAGGCACAGACAGGGAAAGTGACATTAGAATGAAAAACAAGAGTATTTGGGGCGTTGGGTTTCATCTCATGCACATCACAATGACAGTGTGCTGATGCATTTGCATGTTGGTGCTGGGGTTATGCAGCCCATGGCTTTCCTCGGGAAGCTTCCTGTTGCAAGATGTTTGTTGGCTGAGAGTTTGGACTTCCAAATGGAGTACAAACTGTCCCATAAATACTCCATTTGGGATTCTGCCTAACCAGTTGTTGGTGGAAACTCTGGGCCATGCTGCTAGGGCATGGAGTCCAGTCAGAGGTGAGGCCCTGACTTGAGACCTGTGCATGCAAATTTGCTCAGCCCAACTTTAAATATGCTCCTGTCACACAATTGCAGGCCCCATGTGTGTGCATGGCGGGTTGGTTTAATGCAACGTGAGTGCCCCTTTAAAAGCTGTACGTTAAATTTTTGTAAAGCAAATCCTTCTTCATCTTTTAAAGAAATAACCCCTGCAAGTCATTTTGTAAAGTGGAGAATCCTTTTGTAGTATGGACAACTGCCCCGTTGTTTCTTTCCTGAATCAATCCTGGTGGTGGAACTGGGTTTTCTTAAAGCTAGGCCTGTCTGTAATGAAGTTCAAGCCCATGGAACAAACTGCACAGAAGTCCTGTGTATCTGCCATTGTACCAGTGTCACCTAGCGCTCTCTCTCTCTCTCTCTCTCTCTCTCTCTCTCTCTCTCTCTCTCTCTGCCTCTCTCTCCCAGGTTTTGCAATTGAGTCAGAGAGAAAATATCCAAAGGCCCCATCATGTAATGTAAGAGCCCATCACTTTTGTGTTCGAGTTTCAGTACCATTACAGTGCCTGAGTACAGACTTAGACAAACAAAGATGGATCTTGCTCCCCTCCTCTTCCTATTAATTACTGAGGTTCCCCAGGCATAGGGACAAGATGGTCAGCTACTAAGGCACTGGGATTGTTTCATATCACACTCAGCTGTCACATATTGCCGTGAACACTAAGGTTGGTTTCTTCCCATTGCTTGGGAGTTAGGACAAGGAGTCTGACCCATGTGAAAACGGAACAACTGTCCTGAGCTCAAAGGCTGTGTTTTCTTCTCGGTGCAATGATGACTTGGGAATGAAAAATGTTGATCTGGAGGTGGCTTTTCTGAGCGAGATCACACATTTGTTGGGAACTTAAGCTACGGCTCCCTTTCTCCGCTTTGTAGCATTATTGGAATAAATGCACCAGGCAGTGGGGTCCGTAAAGAGCCCTGTTGTGTACTAAGGGTGCAGTGCAGTGGCCGAGCAGCACACATGAGGTTCTGGGTTCAATACCCAGCACAGACACAAAAGCTTCATTACCCTTAGTGCTGACCCTGCAGTGAGTTCCAGCCAGAGTTCAGGCCCTGGGCAGTTGATATTTGAGTAATTTAGCGTATAAAGTACTTTTCCCTTGAGCTGTCCAGATCCTCATTTCTCTAGATTAATCTTACTTTCTCCCTGATTGCAAGGCAAGAAATAGTTGTGAGAAAGGGAGAGAGACTTGGGATCCGAGTGCCTCCAGACTGCTGTACTTCCTAAGGGGCTAGAACGGAGGGCCAGGAGTTTGGTCTTTGTAAGATCTAAGGAAAACCCTGAATTCTGTTTTCATCTTCAACACCCCATATCTTTCTCCCTTTTCCTCCTCCTCACCCTTGAAGAAATGGCAAGGTCCCAAGAATAATATCTGTACAAAAGGGGAAAATGTAAGCATGAGAAACATTTGAGGAAAACAATGAACGTAAGGACCAGAGAGAATCCTGTCTTTCAAGAATAATTCATGTTTATTTGTGGTGGCAAGTAACAAGATGGTACAACCTTTACCCTTTTTCCAGAAACAAAAACAAAGGGCACAGCAACTGTAGTGAGCTGACAGCTATTTTGGCCTTTTGGGTGGGTCTAGCCACACTTGGGATCCCAGTGGTACATGACCCTCTGCAGAAGGCTTGCCCCAGCCTGTGTACATAGCACGCCATGTCTGTGGGCAGGCCCAGCACTTTCCGTCAGTGTTGTACTGTATGTGACGAGCTGTGTTGGTCTCTGCATTTCTCTGCAGAAGAGGAGTAACTGCTCCGGGTACCTTGATGTCTGTACAGCCTAGAGGCCAACACTGTGGGCGTGTGACTCTTTATTGGGGGGAAAACAAAACAAAACAAAAAATCCCAGTGTGGTGATGATGGTGTGTGTATATATATATAAGGTTATATGGGGAAGATTTCTAAATAAAAGTTTTACAAAGGGACCTGGACTTTGTGCTTGCACGTGACACCCCAGAGCCTGAGAATGGGGACTTTAAAAGGAAAAGCCTGGTAAGACTCGGCTCCACTCCTCTTAGGAAGTGGGATCCAGCTCCTACTCTCAGAATAAGCCTGTAGGGAAGAAGGAGGCTACACTCAAGGGTTGGGGGCGCCCTTTTTTTTTTCTTCTGCAACTCCATGGGGCTTCAGTACCCTGTCCTTGTGTTTGCAGCCCTGGGCAGCCTGGCAGATAGACCTCTCTGTTGGGTTAACTTCCTCCTTCCTGTTAGATCAGTTTCCCTGGTTGGGGCCATTGTTCCCAACAAGGGCTTAGGACAGACAAAGGGAAACATTACCCACCATTGGTGTCCTCAGGTTCCCTGATGACTCAGTGGAGGCTGTAGCTTTTACACCTTTTACACCTAGCCTATGCCCATATATATATATATATATATATATATATATGCACGTATCAGGTGTGTACAGTGCTCACAGTGACCAGAAGAGGGCGTGAATGCTCTGGAATTGGAGTTACAGACAGTTGTGAGTGGCCATGTAGGTGCTGAGGTTTCATGAATGGAATTTGAGGGTTTCATGAATGGAGTTTGAGACTGTGATTGTGGTTTGTGGGGAGGCCATTGCACACAAACGGTTGACCCCTTGGAAGTTTATAGGGTGGACATCTCCAACTAAGTGTAGCTTCTGTTTTCTCATTTAATAAGCGATTGCTGAACACCTGGCTCTGAGTGGATACTGTTCTGTTGGTGAGGGTTCAGCACTGAACAAAACCAACACAGATGCTTGCCACTGCAGCTTACATTCTAGAAGGAGACAGTGAATGTACAAACACACACAGTTAGAAAGTGATTAGTATTAACTAACCCACAGTGAGTTTCAGGCCAGCCTGGGCAACATGAGACAGTCTCAAAAACCAAAGCAAAAGATGAGGTAAGGAACAAAACAGGGATAGTTCGGGAAGGCCCTAGGGTGCCATATTTTCCATTCAGGGACAGTGTTGTCCTAGTGACAGGATCATGTCTCTCCACATGTTACATGGGCTAATAGACTCTGAAAAGTCTTTTTCTTTCTTCCTCTTTGGACCTCAGTACTCATCCCCCAAATGTAGAGATGTGGACACTAACTAATTCTCCAACAGGGAATTCAATGGTTTCACAGTTAATTCCCACCCTGTCTGTCTCTAGTTTAGCAGGCAGCTCTTGCCTTCTTGGCTGCTATCCATCTCCTAGAAAGAGAGGGTAGGATTCAGCCCTGTAACATGAGGGCCTGCTAGTTGGGGTTTCTGTCCTGTCTGGTTCCCATAGTCGTTCAGCCCCGAAGAAATCACACAGAGAGTCTGCATTACTTATAAACTGATTGGCCCATTAGCTCAGGCTTCTTATTAGCTCTTGTAGCTTATATTAACCCATTATTCTTATTTATGTTAGCCACATGGCTCAATGCCTTTTTCAGGGGGCAGATCACATCCTGCTTCTTTGGTGATCTGGGCAGGACTGGGAGGACTGGGCTTCCTCCTTCCCAGAATTCTCCTGTTCTCATCGCCTGGCCTCTACTTCCTGTCTGGTTGAACAGTCATACTTCCTGCCTGGCCAATCAGTGTTTATTTAGAACATGATTGACAGAATACAGATAATTCTCCCGCACCACAGCCTGAGTGTCAGGATCTGACCCAGCCTGTCAGGAAGCCCCTCAGATGTGTCTTTCCCTGGCCTAGGGCAAGGACAGTGTGAGATTTGACCTTGGGGTGGGGAGAAAAAGTAGATCTTAGACTCACAGACTTGAGCAGCTGATTGAAGAGATTGTCGTGAAAGTAGAGAAAGGAAGAGGGTAGGGAAGGAAGAATGGTGTTTGGGGTGGAGGAAGTAGCCAGCCGTGTTCAGTACAACTGAGGAGTCATGCAAGGAGAGGTTCTCGGGTGAGTCACTTTATCACCCTGAGGTTTGGTTTATCTGTTAAATAAGGGTATTAGTGCTCATCTTCCAGGACTGTCATATGACTCCGAAATAATATATGCAAAGTGTCTGTGTCTGATTAAAAAAGATTATATAGAAAGATGTATAGAAAACATTCTTTTTTTCTTGGCAATGGGACTAGGATGGGGCTGTCCTAGCAGAAGAGAAGAGGGGAAGGGTATGTATGTACAACAGTATTAATCACCCCTCAGCAGCAGGGCTTTTAGTGGGTCTGTCCCTTGCCAGGTAAGGCTGGGTAGTCAGCAAGGACCACCCACTTCAGTTCAGGGGCTGAGTGGAAGTAAAGTGGGAACAGGGAAGAACCCTAGAGGCAAGTGCTATGGGAGGGGCTGAGTGATAGGGCAGCCTAACTGATAACAGGGACCCTGAGCTATCGTGACTGAGGGAAAGGTTGGAAGGTATCTGGGAGGGGGTTCCACTTCCTGTCCAGAGTATTAGAGCAGGCTGGTCCAGGAATGACATTCTCATGGGTCCTGTATTCTTGCCCAGGCTACCTAGGGTGAGGCGTGCTCCTGGGGTACTCACTTCAGTGGGATGTGAGGTGCCTTTCACCCTCCTCGCTCTCTCCTTGAGCGCTTGGTCTGGTCTGAGCTCTGCCCCTCCCCAGCTCCTGGTCTTTTTCTCTCCACACAATAACAGGATGTGATCAGTTCGAAGAGAGGAAGTGGGGGAGGACTGCTGTGCTGATAGCAGGGAAGGAGAGGGGGTTCTGGCTCTCCCCTCTCTGGTCCTCCTCTGCTCTGTCAACCCGCCTCTGTAGCTCTTTTTCCCCTCAGCCATTCCCCAGGCTTCTATCTGAGACCAGTGGGGATGAACTTGGGACTTCACTTCAGGCCCATGCAGGACTGTTTGCCTATGGAGAGACATGCCTTGACCACACCTCTGCAGGGCCTGCCTTCTGGAGAGGCTTGCTGGTCAAGCTTTAGATGCTAGGTTATTTCCTGCCCTGCAGCTGCTGGAGTCTAAGGGTAGGTAGGTGGGTTGCTCAGCAGGGCTCCATCTTTCCTAGTTCTAATGCGCGTATGATTCAGTGCAAAGGGTGGTAGAATCAATCAAAAAGTCCTGTCAAATGCTGACTTGGCATGGCCTTGTACAGTGTTTGGGTCAGGCTGCAAAATGGAAAGTGAAATTCAGAGAGACAAGTGTCTTAATCAGGGTTCTCTAGAGTCACAGAATTTATGGAGTGCATCTCTCTCTCATCTCTCTGGAATGACTTACAGGCTGCAGTCTAACCAATCCAACAATGGCTGGCTGTGAATCTAGTAGTTTCTCAGTCCTACAAGACTGGGTGTCTCAGTTGGTCTTCTGTATATGCTGGAATCCTGAAGAAGTAGTCTCCAGTGTCAGGGGAGGAACGGGGGGGACTGGAAAGGCAGGACAAGCAAGCAGGAAGCTTTCTTTCTTCCATTGTCCTTCATAGGTTTCCAGCAGAAGGTGTGACCCAGATTAAAAATCCTTCAAGACCTGGATCAAAAGCCTGTGCCTACCAACCTCAAGAACCATATCAAAGGCATGTTGTCTTCCATCCTCAATGACCCAGATCACAGGTTTGCCCTCTGTTACTGGATTATAGTTCATTACAAATATAGTCAAGTTGACAACCGAGAATAGCCATCACAACAAGGGACATGGAGTAGGAGGTAGACTGAGCTGGAACTCAACACTAGGTCCATTGAGTGACCACCTCTTCAGGCCAGGGCTGTCCTTAGGACTCCCAAAGTTGATGGAAAACTTTCAGACCTGCCCTGTCCAACACAGCAGCTATTAAACACATGTATCTTTTCAGTATTTGAAGGATGACTAGCAAACCAAGGAACTGAGTTTTCATTGTGTTTAATTTGAATTAACTGCAAAAGACCATGTGCAGATATTGGTTTTCATAAAGCTTTAGACTTTCATCTATTGGGTTACTGATAACTTACTGTCTCCTATGCTGAACCAGGCTGAACCAGGCTGGGGACACAGATCAGTCGGGCAGTTGAGGCCATGCATTAAGGACTGTCCTAGAGGCCAACCAGGAGAAGAGTGAGCTCACCTAGTGGTCATGGAAAGTTTCTCAGAGAATGCTAGCTCTGGAGAGATGAGTAGGAATTTATCAAGGGTACAGAGAGGAATGGAAGTTGGGTGGTGGGTATGAATAAAGGTGCAGCACTGGTAAGAATGGGATGTGCTTTGGAGACTGTGGCCTTGGTTGGTGGGGTATATATGTTTTAAGTGTTGGGCCGGAGAAGTCTTGGGGTCTGGTCACCAGCAATCTGAAGTTCCCTGAGAGTAATGGGAACCATAGTGAGGGGTGTGAACAGATCGGAGGGTGGTCAGAACAGGCTTTGGGGACTTTGTAGGTAACCACAGTGGAGGTCAGCTGCAGGCATGGGCACAGGTAAGGAGTCAGAGAGCTACAGCATCCTTAGCATAGCATGATGGCCTGCTGGACATAAGGCTGAGGTGAGCTTTCTGTTGTCATGGAGACCTGGGTGTGACTGTCAGAAGGATATGATTGCAGAACACTGGAACTTGGAACTTAGAACTAGAGCCTAGAATCCTCTGGAACAAACCTCCAAGGAGATTTTTTCATTAGTTTTTTTTTCTGAGAGTATAATATAGCTACATCATTCTTCCCTTCCTTCTCCTCCCTCCAACTCCTCCCTTGTACCCCTCCTTTGTTCTTTTTCAAAATCATGGCCTCTTTTCAGTATTATTACACATATATGTGTAATCACACACACACATTTCTAAATATATGAATACCACATGCTCAGTTCAGATAATGTTATTTGTATGCATGTTTTCAGGGCTGGTCTTTTGGTATTGGATACCAGCGGGTGTGCTAATTCCTGGGAAAGACTCTTTTGCTCTCAGCATCCTTGAGTTGCTCTTTAGTTCCCTGTCTAGGGTGGAGGCCGTTTGAGCTTTCATTCTGCCATCTTAGCATGTTTGGTATTCAGCTTCTCTGACTTTTCCAGGAGACACAATCTCAGAACCAACTTCTCGGCTTTGTCAATGTTTTTGCCCTTTATTCTGCAGTGATCCCTAAGCTTTCGGTGCAGGAATGGTGTTGTAGATGTGCTATTTGGGACGCAGCTCCACAACTCTGCATTTTGATCGATTGTGGTTTTCTATAGTGGTCTCTGTCTGTTGCAAAGAGAATTTTCCTTGATGACAGGTGAAAACTACACTTATCTGTGGGTAAAGGGGTAAATATTTAGAAGGTGGTTGGGAGTTATTTGGTTCAGTGAAGTAGCAGGTGTAGGCTCTCCCCCAAGGTCTGTGACTTCACTAGCCCCGAGTAGTCGACTGGGGTTCTAGTACAAGGCATAAGTTTCCACTTGTTAAGTAGACCTTAATTCCAATTAGGGAACTGTTGGTTCCTGCCAAGGTATGAGTGTCATTATGACACCCTTAGAGTTATGGATCGTGCCATGTTGGTTGTTGTGGTGATTCATAGCTAGGTAGGGCCAAGCTGCTCTTTCTTGTCTAATACGCTTCCCAGCACTGTCTATTCAAAATCCATTCTGTAGACATGTCTGTCCCCGATGGGACAGTTACACCAAGGTGCTGATGGGGCGGAGTGAGCTGCCTGGAAGAACAGGTTTTGGCACAGACCCCAAGGCTGAGGAGATCAGAAAGGACAGAAGTTCCCCTCAGAAGGAACATGCTCAGAAGGCTGCATGTCCTCTCAAGGATCCAGGACAGGAAAATGTGCTTCCATTTTACAGAGGTCAGAGAGGTCAAATGGGCCAGAGAGAAGTTGCTCAGAGCCAATCTCTCATCCCACAGCAAATCAACCCTGGATGGAAGGGGAAGCCAGAGGGTGGCCCCATATAATTGGGAGATGCGTGTGCAGGTTATTTCAGGAGTTCCCTGGTTTGGGGGAGAAGACCCCTTGTGTCCTCATTCAATTTCCACTATGCAGATGGTAGTCTGACAATAATATCACCTACCCCTGCCCACCCCTTCGCCACCCTGTGACAAAGTCTTTCAAGACCCTTGCCCTTCTGAGATCTACAGAGAACTCTGGGACCAGGCTAGAAAACCTTTTCCCACCCAATGCCTGTGACAACCTGGCCAGCTGAGCCCTGGCAGCTCAAGGCCCTCAGCCCTTCCCAGCTCATGGCTCACCCAGCTGCAGCCTGGGACCTTCGGTGCTCCTGGGTCCCAGGCTCCGGGGGATCTCAGGGGGCTGGGCCTTCTGCCCTCTTACTGTTCCCACACAGGCTAAGGGAGGCTTGTTTCTCAGCGCTCCCGCCCCTCTCTCTAGCAATTCCCTGGACGCCATGCATTCAATGGGCTATCAGGCTTGCCCATCACTCTCACCCCCCCCCCACTCTGTTACCCCTGAATAGGTGGGATCCAGATAGCTACAGGCACTCCCATCCCCAAGCCCCCAGCCAATATCTCTGAGGACCCCGTCTGGGACCTCGTAGCTCTGCGGTGTTACCTGCCTTACCACGCTGAGAACTGCGGGGTACTTGCCTTTGCCGGCAGGCGTGCTAGCAGCCCGTTCTATTGTCTGCCACTGCCCTAAAGCTGCGGTCTCAACTGGGCATCTAAACATGAAGACTGCTTAGTCGTGTTGCTGCGATTGTGCCCCGCAAGTCTAGTCAGAGGTAACGTTACAGTCTCCGGTGTTTAGCTCCTGGAGACAGGTGTCTCCTTTTGGGGACTCTATGCTTTCCCCCCTCCCTTGGCGTTGGCTGCGGGTGTGACAATGCAAACAGAGGTCCTGTGCAAGCAGACAGCAGGCAGGACAAGGCAGTGGCTGCTTGCCTTGCTTTTTTTTTTTTTTTTTTTTTTGGGTGTGTGGGTGGGGGTATTCGGGTTGGCTGTAGGCCCTTCAGGGTCCACATCTGCCGGGTTGGGGTTGTGCCAAAGGCGCTGGCCTGTCCAGTTGCCTGGCTGCGCTGCTCTGAGCTGCAGGAAGCATGGAGCCTGCTGGCAGGCTCCCATGATGCTAATGAGGGCAGTCCCAGGCCAGGGGGAGGGGAGCCTTTGTCCTGCTCTTGTCTTTGCTGGAGAGTCCTCAGAAAGAGACAAGGGGCCCTCCACAGACCCAAGTACACACGATTAGCCTGCCATCACTCACATTGATGACACTCAGAGCTCTGGAGTGTGGACAGAGGTCGGGGAAGAAGAGAAACAAACAGGTCCTGGGGAGTACCTGCACTTTCCAGGCAGTGGCCTAGAGTAACACCCCAAGATCAACATAGAGAAACACTGCTCCCTGCTCTCCCCTCTGTTTTTCTTTCCTTTCCAGGTTACACCTTTGCTGTACTCAAGATAATACACTATCACCAGCAACAATGGTAGGCTCTGGTTAGAGTGTCTCTAATGATCTGTCCTCCCCCCCCCATGCTTCCTGAGCTCCCAGCATCTTTTAAGATATGTCCTGGGTGGCTATGTATGTCCTGTCCTGCCTCCTTTCCCCACTGTTGGTGGGCTACTGGGGCTCAGATCTCCAGGGGGCAGGTACTACCCTGCACAGAGTAGTAGCCCCACCTCATGTGAAAACTCTCACCAGTTTCCAAGGAGGGTGCACAATATACCAGTGCTTTAGGGATGTGTGATTGATGCAAAGGGATGAATGGTTTGATTATCTTCAGAGCAGCCCTCTCAAACCTGGGCCCATAGATAGCCAAGATGTTGGCGAGAATTCAGAAAGAACATGGACATGAAGGGGAAAAATATTACATCTTATTTTAAGTGGCTTTGACTGAGACAGCTTTCCATCTGAGAGAGAGCGGGGTGGGGGTGGGAGTGCGGGGGGGGGGGGCTCGTAGAGAGCACAGAGAGAGAGAGAGAGCATCATAGTAGCACCACCAGCATCTGGGACTTTTTGTCACCAATGGAACCATTCTCCAGTTGTGGTAGGTCACATTGATATGTTATCTATGATCATTCTCATCTTGAACTTAAGGTAATTATTATTAATCATTATTATCACTAATCACTGTTATTATTATGATAGAGAGAGGGAGAGAGAGAGAGAGAGAGAGAGAGAGAGAGAGAGAGAGAGAAAGAGAGAGATTGAATCTTACTGTGTAGTTTAGGCTAGGCTCAAACTTGTGACCCTCCTGCTTGGCTTTCCAGGTGCTGGGATTGTAGGTGTGTGCTACTATGTCCAGCTACCATAATATAATATTTTAACATACCTTAAGGGTTGTATTTTTTGTTTAATTGGTTTTTATGATAATTGTGTTTTTATTTTATGTATTTAAGACATTCATTTTAAAAGACTGCATAGACTGCACCACACTGCCTGAGGCCCATGCCATATAGAAGATTAAAAGTCCCTGCACAGGGGCCTGGAGAGATGGCTCAGCAGTTAAGAGCACTGGCTACTCTTCCAGAGGTCCTGAGTTCAATTCCCAGCACCCACATGGCAGCTCACAACTGTCTGGAACTCCAGTTACAGGGCATTTGACTCTCACTCCAATGAACATAAAATAATAATAATAATAATAATAATAATAATAATAATAATAATAATAAGTAATTTTTTAAAAGTCCCTGCACAAAGGTATTCCCTTTGTTGGCTTTTCCCTAGCTCCATCTTCATCAGGATAGAGTCTGGTGTTTGTGCTCCGTACCTGTGCCCCTCTCCGTGGTTTGGCTAGAGATATAAGAGAGAGACAAGCACAGTCTGGTATGAGCGGAAGGGCTCCAGGCTCACTGCTCCAATATCACTCTTGAGCTGCCACTCTTAAAAGATGGTTCCTATTGCCCAGTACCTCCCACACGTCAGGCCAGAACTAGGACAGCGAACATGGAATTTTCCTGATAGAAAAACTGGAGAACAGGAGATAAATTAAATAAATGGTGGGTTCCAGGGGGATAATGCCAAAGAGCAAAATAAAACTAGAAAAGGAAATAGGTGGGGTTTATAGAGCTGAATTTGCAGGGATTCAAAGGTCTGAACTGGAAAGCCTCAGGGAATAGATGACCTTAGTGTCAAGACCCAAGGGAGAGGAGGAGAAATCTAGGAAGACGTCTGGGAGAGAGTATCTATCACGGGGAGAGCACGGGGAGTGCAAAGGCCCTGAGGTCCAAGTGGAGCTGCTATGGCCAGGGCCAGCAGGAGGCAGGTGTGGCTAGAGTGAGGGAAGAGGGAGCAGGGGACAGGTGAGAGACATCACATAGAGAAGCCAGGCCATCCTGATGGCTAGGGTTTTTGTGTTTTGACTAGCTCACAAATTAAGGTTTAGCTTGAATTTCTGTCTGCCACCCTGAGAACAGACAGAATGGAGCATAAACAGGAGTGAGGAGACCAGGCCATGGGAAGCCACAAGCTTACAACAGGGAACTCGAAACAAACCTTCGATATGTTTAGAAAGAGTCTAAAGGATTTACTGGCAGCTCGGTGTGGAGAGTGTCAGAGAGAAAGTCAAAGGCAACCGCAGGGAGGGTGGGATGCCATATGTCAAGGGGAACCTGTGGAGGGGAAAATGTTCAGCGGTGTGAGCTCAAGAGCTCCTTTTGGACATCTTATTCTTTCTTTTGAGCTAGGTCTCACCATGTAGCTCACCATGTAGCCCAGGCCGGCCTCAAACTCACAAAGACTCTCTGGATTAAAGACACACACCACCAGGTAACATCTTACTTCTGAGATGACAGTTGGGAGAGTGGTCCAGGCTAGGAGGCATCACTTCTGGGTAGGCTATGACACAGTGGACAAGCATGCCCATCAGTAGCCATCATTCCTGCTCCTGCTGGCACCAGTCAGGTGCTTTTCATTAATCTCCTCTCAGTCTCTCTACAAGCTCAAGGGGAAGCAGATAATAATATCCCTTTGTACAGATGGATAAGCTCAGTCAAGATGGAAGGGCCTTGCTGTTGTCACCACCAGAGAAAAGCAAAGCTGGGGTTTCAGTTTGCATTGGTCACATTTCAGAACTCAAACTCTCAAACCCATTACAGATGTTTATTTTTATATCTATTTATTTTTGATTTTTCAAGACAGGGTTCTCTGTGTAACAGCCCTGGCTGTCCTGGAACTAGGTCTTGTAGACCAGGCTGGCCTTGAACTCACAGAGATCTACCTTCCTCTGCCTCCTGAGTGCTGGGATGAAAGGTGTGCATCACCCCCACCTGGCTATTTATTTTTATTTTATGTGTATGTGTGTTTAGCCTGTATGTCTGTATGTGGGACACATGGGCAATGCCTGTGGAGGATAGAAGGTGTTGAATCCCCTGGTACAGGGGTTACAGATGGCTGTGAGCAGCCATGTGTGCTGGGAATTGAACCGAGATGCTTTTAAAGAGAAACCAGCGCTCTTAGCCACTGAGCCATCTCTCCAGGCCCTCTATAACCCTTCAACACTATTGCAGTGTCATCTGCAAGCCTTATAGGCCCCTTCCTTCCGGCCTCCCTGACTTCCTTCCCCCCTCCCTCCTTTATTTTTGTTTTCAAGATACTCCTCCTCAGCTTCCTAGTATCTTTAGAAAATTCAGACTATCCTTAAAGTTACTACTTAGAATCTTTGATGATTTTATATATATATACATATATATATAATTATATATGTGTTGTGTGTGTGTGTGTGAGAGAGAGAGAGAGAGAGAGAGGAGAGAGAAAGAGAGAGGAGAGAGAGAGAGAGAGAGAGAGAGAGGGAAATAGGAAGATGGAGGGAGGACATAGGATATATAGGGATAAAGAGGGAGGGGCAAGAGACAAAATGAAGATTTCTTTGTAGGTGCACCCCCAAAGACCTACTTCATCCAAACAGGTCACATGTCCTTCTGCCTCCTGAAATGTTACTGTGAGTCCATGGAGGGATCAATCAATCCACTGACTATCTGAGACCTCAGAATCAAACCGTCTCCCCAAAGTCCACTAGCTGGTACCACAGGGGCCACAGGAGATGCTTCATAGCCAAACTTCAGCTCCGTTGGACTTTGTGTGCTTGCTTCCTGGCAGAGCCTACAAAGCATCAACTCCAACAGTGCAGAAAACAATGTTTGACTCGTTATATTGAATGGTGCCATAGGAGGCCCTGGATAAATACTTGTTGAATGAATGTTACACTTCCTGTTATCTTTTCCTGATCTTCCAGATTAGATGGTACACAGTGCCCAAATACCTGCTTTGAGACATTTAGTAAGACTGTAACTTTTAATAAAAGATTGATTTTAATTCCAATAGTGTGGTGTGGTGTGTGTGTGTGTGTGTGTGTGTATGGTGCATGTGAGTACAGGTGCCTGCAGAGGCTAAAAGAGAGTGTCAGGTCTCCTGGGGCTAGAGTGACAGGCAGGTGGTTGGGAGCCACCTAATATGGATGCTAGGAACTAAACTCAGGTCTTTTCAAAAGTAGTACGCACTTTCGATCCCTGAGCAATCTTTCCAGGTGCCCCCTCTTTTTTGGACATAAGGTCTCACTCTGTAGTTCAAACAGACATAGAATTCATTATATAGCCTGAATTTGCAATGATCTCATGCCTCAGTGTCCCATGTGCTGGACTATGTGCAGGTAGTGCTGCGCCCAGCTGGTGTGATGCAATTTCATAGCTACACCTAATCAGCTCTGCTTGCTCACTCTGGTGTTTCCGGTCCTCTAGTAGGCAGCAAACATGAAGTGAAAGAATGCATGAGCTCATACTGGGGTGAAATTGGGCAAAGTAATCAATAAGTCAGGGCTGGGGAGAGGGGCTGAGCCCTGGCCTGTATAAAGCACTGCCTGGGATTGGTCCTCTCCTAATCGACTGTGTGGCACTCACTTAGAATCTTTCAGGGTCATATTTTCCTCAGCTGAAAAATGAGGAGCAAGATGGCATCATTCAGGGTGAGCCTGTAGGTCAGGAGAGGCTAATTCTAGAAGCTTCTTTCTCGGTTTGGTTCCCTGCTGGCCTGGAGTCCTGATGGGCAGCAGAACTGTGCAGAAGCCATTGGGAAAGATTTGGCCCTGGGCCTTCTGCTGGTAGGAGGACCCTGGTTTGGCCCCCTCCTTACTCTGGGTTGGGTGAGGAGGCTATAGGAGGATTTGATTGATCTTCTCTTCTGGGGGGTCCTTACCATAAATCTCCCTGGCCTACTGGGGTCTCCTAGGACTCAGAAGCAGCAGCCAGTGCATTCCTTGGCTCTACATGTTCCGGGCTTAGTACCATTTGTCTCTTTCAGTTCCTAGCTCTGGGATCACCTGTGAGGCCGAGTACTTGTCTGCCCGGATCATAACGCCTCTCTGGGTACCAGACAGCCTCTGTCCAGAGAGTCACCAGCCTTTCTCCAAGTCTGATCTTGAGATCGCATGGCATGGCCTCAAATAGACTTGCTGCAGACGCACCAGAGTCAGGACTCCTTAACTCTTTTGTGCCATGGTTCAAAAAAGTCTACAGCTTCTTTCGTTTACACATTATTATTATTTATTATTGTTTATGTGCGTGTGCATGGTGTGTATTTGGAGGTGAGCAAGCCATAGTGCACATATGGAAGTCAAAGTCCACCTTTATGGAGATGGTTCTCTCCTACCTTTATATGGGTTTCAGGCATGGAACTCAGGTCGTCAGGCTTGTACAGCAAGTACAGCATCCGAGGAGCCATCTTGCTGGTGCCCTGTGGTCTCTTTCTCCATGAAAAGTTTTCGGAAGCATCTAATAAAATGTACATTACTGAACAGCAAGCAAAGTGTATTGGAACACAGTTATCAAAATGTTAAAGGTACGTTTGTGATACAGTAATTTAACTGTACCTTTATAATGCACTTGACCGGATTTGTGGAAGCTTCAGCGACTACTATGGTTACCCACTGATAAACACAAATAATAAATATGTCAAATACCCACAGCAGCTGGGGGTGATAGGACGGCATCCGAGGACCGTGGTTTGCAGTCTTTATTCCGAATGGAAGAAACTTTCAACATTTACAGGTTAGTGAGAAGCCAGATGTGGTATCCCCTGCCCAAGTTCACAAGCCGTCGAGAGTGTAAACAAAAAGTGGCCCAGTTAGTGAAATGCTCTGAGAGTGAAGAGGCGCCTCCACATCCCCGACCAGTCTAGTTTAGCCCTCTGCAGACATCCTCATGGGTGACCATAGGTGACACGGTCTTTTGCCTTCCTTGGTACGCCTATAGGGATAGTTCAGTTCCCTCTCTGAAACATTCTCTCCTTAGGGTTGGACAGCTCCAAGGGCTCTCACTTATTGATAGAGATTCTGGGGGCCACTGTCCTAGAGTTAGCACTAGGGAAGACAAAGGGCCCACCTGTAGCTAGTCACACTATCCCTCCACTCACTCCCTTACCGTCTATCCTGTCAGGTCAGGCACTGTATATTCCCAGATTTAATATCATAAAATATATGTGAGTATGTGGTGTAGGCATTGTGTTCATGCTGTGTGCTGGAGGTAAAAATAAAAACAAGTGTGTGTGTGTGTGTGTGTGTGTGTGTGTGTGTGTGTGTGAGAGAGAGAGAGAGAGAGAGAGAGAGAGAGATCTGTCCTTGCAGGTGATAGGTGCGCAAACACATAAACCAGATGATATTGCAGTTTGTGAGAACAGCCTTGAACAGAGGAGCAGAGAAGACTCCCAGGTAAGGTGAGGTGAGGGGATGGACGTCAAAGAAGTCTTCCTGGAGAAAGTGACCTTTAAAGCAAGACTTGGGAGGCCACTTTGCTAGGAGGAACTTGAAGAGAGCACTCCAGGCAGAGATCCACACTCTACTATGTGGATCAGTTCAGGGGGCAGGAGACCCTGGGCCAGGTGAAGATGAAGAGGAGGTCTGTTACATCAGAACTCTAGGTACAACATATGCCACGCCTCCATTACCACTGACTGGTTATATGTCAGTGTTCATTTTCCCTTCCTGTAACCACCCTTGAAACAGGGTGGGAGTTGGGGTGGCTAGAGAGAGGGAAGCTCTTAAATCTTCAATTGTGAACTGTGTGGCCAGCACCACAGCCTGGGATTGGAGCCACACAGTGCCACCTCCTGGCAGTAGGTAGAATGGCAAGTAAGATGTTGGAGGGAGGGCGGAAAGGAGGGAGGGAAACTAACCCTCTCGAGGATAAGCCAGTTCTAGTATGGTGGAAGGTTTGTCTAGGCGCCAGATGATTACAGATGAGAACTGGGCAAGAAACAGGAGCGGGGAACTGAGTGAAGGATGGAACAGCTGCCTGAGGTGAGGATCCAGGGTCCAGCTGTAAGAGCTGCTGAGACCCACCCAAACTTTGAGACCCAGCCAGACAACCAGGGACCCCTTTGTTACCTTGGGGACAGGGATGCTGTTTATAAGACTAGGGAGACAAGCCTTTCTCTGAGTGAGAACCTCCAGGGATCAGGGACCTAGCCTTAAAGCCAAGAGTCCCCTCCACCCCATCCCTCCACCCGCTTTCCGGAACAACTTGTTTTTGCTTTAAAGCCTGGGACTTTGACCTGTTTCCTTCCCTTGGTCACCTGGTGTCCTTTCTACTCATCATCCCTTACTCTGCCCAAAGTATAGTTCTGGGAGTCTCTGCTTCCTGCTGGAGTTTCAGGGAAGTTGGGGGTGCTTGGGGAAAGAGACTGGGGCTCCCATCCTGGTGCCAGAGGCTGGGTGTTCCCCGAGGGCAGGAGCCAGTGAGTGGGTACCACCATAGAAACCTCTCTGCACACCTCTCTTTGGATCTCTCTGCCCTTGGCTGCTGGAGTATCCCTCTGTTTCGGGACTTCACTTTCCTGCCTCATTTTGCCCCCTTTTTCTTTGAAATACCTGTGTTTGATCTTTCAATTCAGCACACACACACACACACACACACACACACACACACACACACACACACTGCATCCTGGGGAAGCCACGTGTCTGACCTTGAGACACTACCATCCACTCAGTTGCCCAAGTCAGAAACTTAACCTGAGAGTCACCGACTATCCTCTCCAGCTAGTCACTTGCCCACACCCTGGTTTTTCTACTTCCCAAGCCCTGTTCAACGCCCCTTCTAAAGCAGCTCAGTCAGTGGCGGCAGGACCTGCATCCCTAAGTCTTCCCCTCCCATCTATGATCACCTTTTCATTTTCTCCAATGAGGAGGATTTGACCTTGGTCCCCGCTCCCTGTTTAAAACCACTGAGGAAGGCCTGGTGGATATTTGTTAAATTCTGCCCCATTCCTTTCATTCCAACCAGCGGTTCCCTAGTTGTTCATTAACGCCTGTCATGCCTGCTCCTCAGTGCTCCTGGGCTCCTCAGCCCTTGTTAAAATCAGGTTACACATATATGGGTGGTATTGCTCAAGCCCATGAAGAGTTCCCCTACAGCCCCTTGGAGAAGAACCCACTGTTACACGGTCACAGGCTCAGTGCACATGCATGAAAGCAGGCAGACACTCAGAGGAAGCAGGCTCAGGCCTCCGACCCTGTCTCTGGACATCAACTTTGTTATCTCTGGGTCTCTTGTTCTTTCTCTATCTCTTTTTTTTTCTTCCCTAGACAGGGTTTCTCTGCTGCTTTGGAGCCTGTCCTGGAACTAGCTCTTATAGACCAGGTTGACCTTGAACTCACAGAGATCCCTCTTCCTCTGTCCCCCGAGTGCTGGGATTAAAGGCATGCGCCACCACTGCCCGGTTTCTGGGTCTCTCTGGATCTGCCAGCATTTTCTTCCTTCTTTCTTTCCTTTCCTTTGATTTTCTTCTTTTCTCTTTGAACAGGAACTAGGACCTGCTGGCAAATGTGTCTCAGGACAAGCGGTGCTGCAGAAGCCCTCTGAGCTCAGGCTCCGTACCATCCGCAATGCCTGCCTTCGCCAGTCTTTAATGCCACAGCCACCTGTTCTTGGCCATCTTATTTCCAAACTCATCCTTTCTGAACCTGATCAAGCCAGGATGGTATGGGCTCTTCTGGAACTTGAACTTAGACTTGTGTGGGAGCTGGGTCACAGGCTCCACGTTCTGTACTCAAGGACAGATGGGCATGTGACTGAGCTCTGGCGTTTCTCAGAGGTACCTGAGTACCTCTCTGGAGCCAAGACAGCAGAAGATCTGTTACCTGAGTGTCCACAGGGAAGAGCTGCTTGCAGTGTCCTTTCAGGAACCAATGCAAGCAACAGGGACTGCCCCAAAATCCTTTCCCTTCCCTTCCTTAGGAAAGGGTCTAGCCTGCTCTAGCATCCCAACTCCTGTATTCTGGGGTGGCTGGGACAATGAGGCCCACAATGACCTCCAGCCCCAGACTTCAGTAGATACTTGGGTCATTCTTAGTGTCTGAAGGTCAGGTGGATGATATGTGTCTTGTGGAGTGGGGGATGGGCTTCTGTTGGGCTTGGCTTGCGGCGTCTATGTCTGGGGACAGAAGAACTACCTTATGGCTACTCCTGGCTATAGTCTGGGCCTGACACTTGGAGTCTCTGTTCTGCACAACCTCCTCTGATGAATGGAGGTGGATCTGAAGACAGGCACTGAGGCTTCTGACTAAGTCAAATCTTGTCTGGTTCCTGCCAGGTTACCGGGGACTGGAAATGTGGAGCCCAGCTATGAGAAGGCGTGAAGAACAACAGGATTGGTCAGGGTTGGGGATTGTGAAGTGAGGTTGTATCTCAGGGGTGGGCCCCGGTGTCTGGCGTGGTGGGGCAGAAACAGGTGAAGGGAGGGCAGAATGTAAGACAGCTCTAGAGAAAGCAGGCAGGTGAGCCTTCCCTGAGGGTTTTGGCTACGGAGGTGCTTTTCCTCTGACTCCTTGAGTCAGACAGCAAGTGTCTTAATGTCACTGTCAGTCTTCCAGAAAGCCCCACCCACTGAGCCCATTCAAGGCAGGACTGAAAATGTGTCACACCTTTCCCAGAGAGCCCAGCCCCATTGCCAGGAAAGGTGAGTTCCCAGGGCGACCTCCGAGGTAGTGTGGGTCTTGGAGGGGGCTGGGACTTCTCCTTTACTTCCCCCATTCACAGGCCCACCTCCTTAACTGGCTTTTGACAGGGGTACCTTAAGTGCCAATTTGTTGGGCTGGGCATCAGCCAGGCCTGGCAGCTCATTTCCATAGGAGGAAGGGCAGTTTCTCCTCACCAGTCTGCCAGTTCTTCCTCCCCACCCTCCCTCCCTTTCTGCCTAACCCAATCCCGTGCCTCTCCTTCAGAGCCTGACTGCTCCCCAGCTGATCTCAGAAACACCCCAGACCTCCAGCAGCTCCAGGAGTCCAAACACCAGCAGCGGACCAAGGCCCTACAGCTGCCTGCAGCCATGTTGGCCCTCAGCCTGTTCACGCTGGGTCTGCTCTCTGCAGTGGCCCCTGCCAGCTGTCAACAAGGTAGCACAGGGCAGGAGCACCTGGGCTTCAGGGGAGGAGAGGGCTGGTTGGGAAAACAGTGACCTGGGTGGGACAGGGTGGTGACCTGCAATACCGTCGTGTTTTGGAGGGGGAACGGGCACTGGGCCAGACACACTCCTCTGACTTAGGCTCTGAGATTTGTTTTTCTCCAGTGTGAAGTGGGAGAACAGGGAACATGTTGGCTCTGGTGGTTAGGGGAGGGACAGAAGTTGAGACTCAAACCTCACAGCAGGACCCAGAGATGACTGGGTACTGAGGGCAGGGGCTAGGAACTTCAGGCTGGGAGTGGTTCGAAGGTGCCCTCAAATGCTTGCTCTTGGCAGGATGGTGGTGGTGGTGGTACAGGAGCTGTCCCGAGTCCTTGGCTTTAGCTTAAGTCCTTTTTCTGTTGTTTGTTTGTTTTGAGACAGGGTCTCTCTCCTGAGCTATCCTGGAACTCATAATATAGACCAGGTTGGCCTTGAACTCACGGAGATAGCCTGCCTCTGCCTCTTGGATGACCCAAGCCTCTTTTTCTCACTTTCTGCAGAGCAGACCATGGGTGTACTCTCCACTAAGCTCTTTCTGTTGTGCTGTGTGATCTTGAGGAAATCGCTGCCCCACTCTGAGACTTAGTCTTTTTATTCATTCTCAGTAAACCTCACCCTGCCATCTCTCGGAGCTGCTGCCAGGTTGGAGGTTTGGGAGGACTTTGTACCCAGTAGTCTGGTGTCTCAGGGTTGGCCAAGATGCTCATGTATATTTGCGTCATCTCTGAATCCCATGTCTCAGAGGCCTTCTGAGAAACTGAAGTACCAGAGAGGTCTAGTAACTTACATGGGTCAGCCCCAGACCATTTTCCCCCCACCTTTGACTCTACCGCTAGTTCCCTAGAGCCACAAGAGGAGGAGCAGAGGACTGTGGTCCCTGGTGTCTTATGAGGGAGGGGTTAGCGGTAAGAACCGCAGAAGGAAGTAGGGAAGGGGTTTCCCAGGGTTGTTCCCAACGCCAGAGCATCATTGGCCAGAAGAAGTGATGGACCTGCGCCAGTGTTTCTTGGCAAGGGTGGGATGGGGGTAACCCGAAACGGTGGCCCTGGCAGAGCAATCATACTGTGCATCTTCTGCTACCCAGGGGTTGCTAACCTAGGGTTGCCATGGCTACAAATCAGAGAGTTTCAGGATCCTTCCTTTTCCAACACCGGCCAGCCTCAGAGACAGTACTAAGACTAGGCAAGTCTTCAGTGCAGCAGAAGACATCAAAGTGGACTCAAAGAAGGACTTTGGCATGGGAATGAGGCAAGCTGAAGTCTTTTGATGCCCAGCTTCTCATAATGTAAGATGGCCCAAGTCTTATAGGTGTCTTGTCTGAAGGCAGGACCTCTTCCAAGCTTCCTGTTGTCCTCTTTCCTCTTGAGGCTCTTGTCTTTGGAGAGTGAGTTCTTCAGTCTAATGGGGAGAATGGTCTTCCTTGGGGCTGCTAGTGGCCTGAGGGCAGAGGCTTCTGAGAAGTTTTAAGGTTTGGGGTTGATGTCAAGGTTGAAAAAGCAGAAGAGGTACAAGGCTAGACCTTAATCTACTCTCTGACCTTTGCATCCTGGCCACCCTGCTGGAGAGGAGGAAGGGGCTCCAATCTGGAGCCCACCATCCCCTGCCATCTTACCTCTCTTACAGTCCTGCACCCCATCTGAGCCCAGTGCTGAGCAAGCCAGGGCAGACCTCACCCCTCCCAACCTTCCCAAAGAAGCTTTATGCTCAAGAACTGGATCTGCCAGATGCCAGCCTTGGCCTGGCAACTCTGGGACAGCGGGGGGGGGGGGGGGGGGCGGCGGAGGGCGGGGGAGGAAGAGGAGGAGCCACTCCCAGCTGACAGGGCTGAGGCCAGCTATTGGAACTTCCCTTTGGTCCCTGTTTTCTTGCACTTCCTAGGGGGCCTGCATGTGACTGTAGGGGGCATGTGTGCAGGAAGGAGGCCCTGGGAAGCCTGGGCCTCCGAGCAAACCCTGACATGTGTTCCCTATTTGGTTGCTTAGGTTTCCTTTGGACTTTAGTAGGCTCTAAGTCACCATCCTTCCCTCTCCTACTTAGGAGAGTAGACAGGTCTAACTTATGTCCACTCTAGCCACTCAGATGTCCCCCTTGGCCCTACAGAGGCTGTTGGCCTTTGACACAGTCCCAAGACTGTCCTGTCCCTGCAGCTCCTTTTTCTTTTTCAGGTCTGGGGAAACTTCAGCCCTGGATGCAGGGCCTTATTGCTGTGGCTGTGTTCCTGGTCCTGGTTGCAGTTGCCTTCGCTATCAACCACTTCTGGTGCCAGGAAGAGCCGTGAGTGCTGTGTGAAGAAGGCCCGGGGCTGGGAAGCCCTCAGTGCTCAGGGTGGCACTAGAACAGTTGATATTATTCTAGCAGGGGATGACCTCAGGAGCTCTTGTTAAAGTCTTGTCACTGTGAGGAAGGGAAACTAACTGGTCCTCAAGTTCTCAGGACGAGTGAGTGACAGAACCAGCTCTGAGCCTGTCTGGCTCCCAGGCCTACAGTCTGTTGACTTCATGGCTCCCTCATTCCCCCATCCACTCCCTACCCCACAGAAACTTGGGAGAAACGTCTTCTCTCCTCAGTGTCTCAAATTTTTCCACCTATGGGAGTTGGGATGGGAGGCTGCTCTTCCTCCTGAAATAGAAGGCCCCATCTTTTTGGAAGGTCAGCCACACGTGATGCAAAGACACAGGCACAGACTGGATAAGCAACTCAAGTCAAATACAGCCGAAAGAAAGTACAGAGTGCGGGACACAGGGTTGGAAGGGGGTTGGTTAGCAAGGTTTCACCGATTGCACATTTACCCTAAAACCTATCACACAAGGAGTCAGTCAGAAGATGGGGTGGTGCAGGAAAAGTACCCTTGAGTCCCCAGTTTGGGACCTGGCACTGGTACCAGGCATGAATGCATAGAGATCAAGAGCTCCCTGGGTAAAGCTACATCTGTCTAAGGGGATCTTTCCCCAGGTCTCACCGAGGTGGCCTGTTAGCCAGGGACCCAGCAGCAGCCCTGCAAGGCCTGCAGAGTATGTGCAAAGAATTTGGGGGGGGGGGGAAGGACAGAGAGTTCCAGTGTGAGGCCGAGGAGGTCAGTAGGACCTGGCAGCACGAATGATCCAGACTGGGCGTTTTATGCCAATGCAGCTGGGATCAGGGGATGAGATGACCTTGGAGTCCTGGCTGTTCCACGCGGGTGCACAGTGTGTGCAGCCTGCAGGCTTAAAGACAGAAGGAGGCTGAGTATGAGGCTGTATAGTCTGGACCTGGAAGGGACAGAGGCAGTTCAGAAAGGGATGGATGAATCTAAGAGCTGTTTGGGAGGGAAGCTGGGAGTTGACAGAGGGAGGCAGTATGGGGCACTAGAGGGGGCAGTACAGGGATGATTCTAGAAGCCCCCCACCCTGAGCAGACGACATTGTGAACAAACTGAGTTGACTTGGCGGGGGGGGGGGCATGTCTGCTATGATGTGCCTGTGGGAGGTCTTAAGACATATACCTGAAGCTGAGTAGGTATAAGGGACCCACAAAAGCAGTCTGAGGGGTGAAAGATGGGCGCTTACTGCTAGAAATGCTCTGTTAGCCCTGTACCTGCCTTCTGTGATCACTAACCACATCTCCTGATTTGGGATATACTCTGAGTCCTGTTGGATTTATGATGGGGCTGAGGTCGTGTGTTTGGAGGCAGTGGAAAGAGACCTGAGACTTAGGACGGTGTCTTACAACCGCCTGTGTTCCCCATTTTCCTGGTGGATCGGGCAGGAGGAGGTGAGGCCTGAGGAGGAGGAGGAAACTGGAAAGCTGGTGTTTGCAGGGTCCAGAGGGAAGCTGGGGGTAATCTCTTCTTGGATGGGACAGTCATTGATGAGCAACTGACAAACCTCATTTCCAGGGAGCCTGGTAGCACGGTCATGATTGTTGGAAGCAAGGCAGACGGGGTCCTGGTGGGAATGGACGGCAGATACTCCTCAATGGCGGCTGGTTTTAGGTGAGATGCTACTGGGGCAGATGGGAAAGGCATGTGAAGCAAAGAGGAAGGGCTGGTGAGGCCAGGAGTGTTCTGTGAGGACTACAGTATCCCGCGGGGAGACAAAGGTTCAATTCAGGGAGAAGGCTCAGACAGGGGTAAGGGTAAGGGATATCATGGGGAGGGGTTCAATGTGGAAAGGGAAGTCAGTGGAAGGGTGAGTCGGGGGAGACTCTGTGGGAAGGGAGTTCTTGGGAGGCTTAGTGGGGAAACTACACAGATGAGGAGATGGGATTTGGGTGGGGATGTTTCTGAGGAGCCTCCAGTGCAGGCACACAGGTCCAGATACGTTCAGGGGAAGGACTCTCTGCTCCCTTGCCTCTCTGGGAGCCAGATGCTGACTCTGGAGAGAAGGCCTGATGCAGGATGGTGAAGAGAGAAAGAAATGGGGGAAGGGAAGCCAATGACCCCGTAAGCCCTACCTCCATTTCCAGGTCCAGTGAGCACAAGAATGCCTTCGAGAACATTCTGGAGGAAGAGGGCAGGGTTCGCAGCACACCCATGTGACAAGCTCATCCATGACCCCAGTCCCCAGGCTATGGGGCACATAGAGTCGATGCCACCACTTCACCCCACCATTGCTCTGCAGGAATCTATTGAAGCAAGCTGCCCCTCTCGGCTCTCTTGAGTCACAGCCAAGTTGAGCTCAAGATGTACTGTGGCCCTGGGGTCTTCCACCCAATTCTGAGGAGCCCCCACCTTTCATCTCCCTCCTCCTGCAACTATGGAAGTGGCCCTTATTTCTACGAAATAAAGACTTTTTATACTTCTGGGGCAAAGACTCAGACCCAGCTTGCAGGCTCCAAGCATGGCCTTGCCCATTTCTTCTCAATAACTGCCTTCTAGGGTCCATGGCCATTGGATTTATGGATTACTCAGGAAGCTCTGGACCTTCTGGATTTTTCCTTTACAGCACACCACCCACTCTGTCCAGCTCTCTCCCCTTCCCAGGGCTCTAGAGTGTTGGGCTAGCATATGGGAAAGAAAACTGTGGAGCCGAGATGAACTAGACAGAACCCATCCCTCACCAGTGTCCTGACTCGGCTCTCAACCCTGGGTGGGATGGGAGTCAGGGGAATTACCCCGGAAGAGAAGAGACCAGGAGGCTCTGAGGCAAGTGCTGCCTGGCCAGCTCCTCTGCGTCTGTGTGTCTCACTGACCAACACTGGTCCCTCTTTCTGTGGTAATAACCCAGCAGAAATGTGTGGAGAAGGCAGCCAGAGCCTCCTTGTTTCCAGATGTTTCTCTGCCACCGATCTCACCTTTCCACAGTGGCCTTGCTTCACAGTCACAGCCATGATTTTGTTGTCTAAGGCCTGAATATCTCAAGGAGTACCCACAAACCATCTCTCTGGGGTTCAGGAGGTAGAGCTGAGCAAAGAAGGAGGAGTACTGTTTCTGTTCTAGGTCTCTTTGCCTTGCTGTGTGATCTAGGGCAAGTCTCCTTCTCTCTCTGGTCTTCAGCTTTAAGGAATTGATGGTTGCCCCTGTGATGATGCTTTGGGCATTTGCCCTCTGTGGGTTTCTGTAACTCATGCAGCCTGACACATATCTGCCAGTTTAGAGCGTACCTATTCTTTTCAACTATCCCTTGATTAAAGCAGAAAGCAAAGCCAGGGGATTTTTTTTTTTCTCATTAAAGGAGAGACAGAGGATGGTAGAGGCTAGCTCTCCCTTAAGACACAAATATCCCTTCTTTGGTCCAGCTCCAGGCTGGGGCCTTTTGGCTGTAGATCAGATCCCCTTGCAGGTGGTCACATTCCTTGCCACCTCTGCCTTCAAGTTGTTGAGGGTGGGGAGTATAGGGTTCAGTTCAGTTCTCTTTATGCCCCCAGTCTACCAGGACAGAACCACCTGTGAGGTGTTGCTAGGAGAGGCCTGCTTCCACCGAAGCAAGCCCTGTCGCCCACCCCCACCTCCCAACTGCGGGGGATGCCCTGCCCTTCCCTTAGAGCCTTGTGATTGCCCCTGCAGGGCCTAGGCTGACACTGACCTACAGTCGTCCTCCTCCACTCCATGTTCCGGTCCTGACCAGGGGCTGGGAGTGAGGGAGCGCCCACCCCAGAACCGCCAAGACCCCCGTCCTTATCGCCAGCTCCCACCTGCCGGCCTAGTTGGATCAGGAGGAAAGGAGGCTGGGCCAGGGCCAGGCCGCAGCTTAATGACCCTCCCGGGGCCTAATCTCAGACTGTCAGCCGCTCGGTGCCTTGGGCCGGCTCCTGGAGGAGGCTGATAACGCACCAGCTGGGCCTCCCACCATCTTCTGGGCCGCACCACGGGTCCCCAGGGGCGGCCTCTGCGGACCTGGGGCGGGGCTGGAGGCGAGGGCTCCACCCTTGTCTGGGAGGAGACCCGGAGGTCCCCAGTGATCAGGGGCGGGGCCGCACCGCCGGACTCCCTTACCCACTACCCGTTCTTGGCTTTCCACGTCAGAGCTCTCCGCAACCGTCCAGTTTCTCTTTGTCCCTTTCTTAGCTTCTTAGGACGTTTTTGTTCTATCTTCTGTTTCTGGTTTAGTGTCTCCCCACCCCCTCCCGGCTCGGCCTCCACTCGAGCTCGACGCCCGCCGCCTCCACCTCCTTCTTGCATCTCCTCTGTTTCCAGACGATTCTCCCCATTACTCCCTACTTCCAAGCTTCCCTAAGGTCTCTGCTTGGCTTGCAAGTCTTGTGCCCAGTCGCCGGAGCCTTTCTTTTGCATGTGTCACCTCATCTCCGGGTGGCTGGTCGCTACCAGGGGCTCTGTGCCCAGCGAGCTCTCCCACTGTTTGGGGCAGTCTAGCTCATTCTGATTCCTGGGATCGGACTTGTATCCTTCTTTCCCCTATTCCACCCCAAACGTGTGGATCTCACAGGGTGACATAGGTCCCACCAAAGTCAGGCAGGAAGGGAAACATCTACTCAGACTGTACACAGCTGGACCGTGAAGTCAGCAATGCTGACTTCAGTTATTTTTGAAGGGACCCTTGCCGTCTGTGGCTGGTTTTGATAAAGGCTGTCGGGTTCTGCCTAGAGTGGTCCCTGCTGTGGGACGGAGTGCCAGGTGGAGAAGATGAGTTTCAGGTTATGTCCCTCACACTTAGTAATGCGGAATGAATGGGTGATGTGCAAGAAATAACTTATGCTTCAATGATTTGTCAGGCAACTCTTGGGCGAAGCTTCCTCCCCCAGGCCAGAGGAAGGAGAGGTGTGGGACCAAGTCTCACTCTTCCTGGTCCTCCTAGACTACACTCAGAAGCAAGCCACAGGGCTGGAGACATCAGAACTTTCCTTGGGGCCTAGGCAGGAGGTGCCTGCTTCCTAACAAACAGGGCTGAAAGTCTCAGCTCCATGACTTGTCTACCTTCTCAGCTTTCAGTTGCTGTCAGAGTACACAAGAGCCAAATCCCAGCTCTAAGCTGCTGTCTGTAGGATCTCTACACGACCAGATCATCCAGTCCCGGCCCAGTGAAACTGGGACTGTAATAGCTTCCCCATAGGCCTACTGGGAGGAAACAAAGGCAGCCTATGTGTTGACATTGCTCCCAAGACTTTCCAGAAAGTAACACACCTGAGAAGGTGCCTCTCCCTTCCATGCACCTCCCACACTAGCCTCCAGGTAGCTCCAGTTCTGTGTTTTCTTGGTCTCTGCACACATCCTGCTGGCACCACTGGACTGTTGGGTCACGTGTCTGTGTCCAGTTCTAGCTCCAGCTCTAGGAGCCCCACCAGAGCAGGACGGGAGCCACTCTTCCTTTATCACTGGTATCCGTGACAAGGATGGATAGGGTAAAGGGCAGCTGGGGGAAGCAGAAAACATACAAAGGAAGGGAACTCAACTCTAGCAGTCTGTTCACCTGTATGTCTGTCTGTACCTTTCCTCTCCTACGGATATGGGTACATATGTGCATGCGTGTGCACCCCTCCCTCCAAAGGGCTGAAGGTCAATAATGGGCTTGCCTTAATGTGCCTGATCATCTGATCCTCAGTTCTGGAAGTGGGCAGCTCTGCTGCCATCTGGTGGTTGTACACTCTGTGGGAAAGGCTGATCAGAGTCTTTTGTTTTTTTAATTTAAAAGTTTTATGATTGTTCTGAAGTACAGGCTTGGGCTTGGTGTGGTCCTCCTCAGTCTCCTGAGTGCTGGGGTTGCAGGTGTGAGTCCCCCGACTGGCTTCAGCAGAGCTTTTAAATGCCTGGTAGGGATCTCCTTAAGTACTCAGACTCAAACCTTGCCTGAGTCTTAGGAATCTCTCAGTTACGCCTATGCTTACTGCATCTCTTGTCCTTCCTGAGCATGCATCCTCTGTTAGCTGTGGACAGGACACACACACATGCAGAGACAGACAGGCAGACAGACAGACACACAGAGACAGACAAACACAGACACACACACACGAGAGAGAGAGAGAGAGAGAGAGAGAGAGAGAGAGAGAGAGAGAATATCAATAATAGCACCAGTCCTGAGCAAGCTGGAAGATGTTAGAATACTGGATCCAGGACACGGTGCAGAGAGGTCCTTGGTTCATGCATGGACCAGCCCTGCACCCTGAAGTTTGGTGTGGACTTGTGTTGTTTAGATGGAAAAGCATCTTTATCCAATATTCACAGGCGTCATGGAAGCCAGGAGATGGTGCTGAGGCTGGCAGATATTAGGAACCAGTGAAGTATGTGATGGAGCAGTATTTACAACCATGGGGAGTTTAGTAGCTTGCAGAGGGACATGGACAGGGCCAGTAGGAGTATGGTTTTGGTCTGAACCAGAGGTCTTGCTTTAGGTTGGGTGGTCCCTTTGTTGTTAATCCAGGCTCAGAGGTTAAGAGAGCTTAACCTCTGTTGATTTACAAGGGAACCAGGGTTCAGTTCCCAGCACTCATGTCAGGCAGCTCATAACTACCTATAACTCCAGCTCCAGGGGTCCAGTGCCCCCTTCTAACCCCTGAGGACACACACACACACACACACACACACACACACACACACACACACACACGAATAAAAATAAAATCTAAAAAAAAAAAGCCATGGTTCACAATAGTACGTGAAGAGCACCGGGAGCTGAAATGGGGCAGCCAACGTTGTCTACAGGGGTGGTGTGAAGAGTAAAAGCAACACTGTTGCTGGCCTTCTGCTGCTTGGACATGGCTTTAAGACAGTAGAAACTTTGTATAGCCTGCTGGTGACTACACTGGGTATTTGGGATCCCAGAGTGGTCCCAAGCTTTTCTCAGGATGAACTTTTAAGCAAAAAATCATATCCTGGGTTGACATACTTCAGTTAACATGAACAACTTAGTCAAAAACAGAACTACAGAAGCCGAAAAGCAAGGTTAGTACATTTAGAGACTTTCCCAGAACTATGGGTTTTGGTGGAGTGATGTGGGATTCCCCTCTGTATGCTGTGAATACCATTGGTTAATAAAGAAACTGCCTTGGCCTGTTGATAGGGCAGAACTTAGGTAGGTGGGGAAAGCTAAACTGAATGTTGGGAGAAAGGAGGTGGAGTTTAAGAGAAGTCATGTAGTCCTGCCGAAGACAGACGCTGGGAACCTTGCTGGTAAGCCACAAATCTTGTGGTAAAATTTAAAATAATGGAAATGGGTTAAATTAAGATGTAAGAATTAGTCAATAAGAAGTTAGAGCTAATGGACCAAGCACTGATTTAATTAATACAGTTTCTGTGTGATTATTTTGGGGCTGAGCAGCGGGAACAAAACAAGCGGCCCCCTTACAACAAATTGGCTCACCAACATGGTTGATTACATCCTGGTAAAACCCGAGAAAGCTTAGACACAAAAGAACATAGTTAAACATGGTTTAGCAGTGACATTTTCTTGGTTGGGCTCTGTTTGCTAGAAGCAAGCAGAGGTATGACTTCTGTAAGAGAGGTTTTCCTGATTCAGCTGTAGCAGAAAAAAAAGCTGCAGTTCTGAAATGCCGGATTTCTGGGCCACACTGCCAGTGTGAACACTGACTCTTTTTGGAGGTCTGGCTATGGAGCCTTTTAATAGGAACTGTTAACAGAGTGCTACAGCTTGCTTAATGGCAACATAGACAGGCTGTATGCTTAAAAATGGGGCTGTGAGAACCAACATCCACCATGATCAAGTTGGCTTCATCCCAGAGATGCAGGGATGGTTCAACATACGGAAATCTATCAATGTAATCCACCATATAAACAAACTGAAAAATAAAAACCACATGACAATCTCATTAGATGCTCAAAAAGCTTTCTACAAACTACAACATCCCTTTACCATAAAGGTCTTGGATAGAACAGGGATACAAGGAACATACCTAAACAAAATAAAGGCAATATACAGCAAGCCAACAGCCAACATCAAACTAAATGGAGAGAAACTTCCAGTGATCCCACTGAAATCAGGAACAAGACAAGGTTGTTCACTTTTTCCATTTCTATTCAATATAGACTTTGAGGTCCTAGTTAGTACAATGAGACAACAAAAGGAGATCAAGGGGATACAAATCAGAAAAGAAGAAGTAAAACTCTCACTATTTGCTGATGATATGATGGTTTACATAAGCAACTCCAAATATTCTACTGAGGAACTTTTACAACTCATAAACACTTTCAGCAATGTAGTAGGATATAAGATAAACTCAAAAAAATCAGTAGCCCTCCTGTACACATATGATAAATGGGCTGAGAAAGAAATCAGAGAAACATCACACTTCACAATAGCCATAAATAGCATAAAGTATCTCAGAGTCACTCTAACCAAACAAGTGGAAGACTTGTATGACAATAACTTTAAATCTTTTTTTTATATTTATTTATTTATTATGTATACAATATTCTGTCTGTGTGTATATCTGCAGGCCAGAAGAGGGCATCAGACCTCATTTACAGATGGTTGTGAGCCACCATGTGGTTGCTGGGAATTGAACTCAGGACCTTTGGAAGAGCAGGCAATACTCTTAACCACTGAGCCATCTCTTCAGCCCATAACTTTAAATCTTTGAAGAAAGAAATTAAAGAAGACACCAGAAAGTGGAAAGATCTCCCTTTCTTGGGTAGGTAGAATTAACATAGTAAAAATGGCAATCTTGCCAAAAGCAATCTACAGATTCAATGCCCATCAAAATCACAGCAAAATTCTTCACAGACCTCAAAAGAATGGTACTCAACTTCTTTTGGAAAAGCAAAAAAAAAACCAGAATAACCAAAACAATCCTGTACAATAAAAGAATTTCTGGAAGCATTACAATCCCTGACTTCAAACTTTATACAGAGCTACAGTATTGAAAACAGCCTGGT